TACAACAGACGGACAGACGGAGGGACGGACATGGGTAGATCGTCTTAGAATTTTACCCTGATCAAGAATATATATACTTTATAGGGACGGAAATGAATATTTCGATGAGTTACAAACGGAATGACAAAATTAATATACCCTCCATACTATGGTGGAGGGTATAAAAAGGGGGTTATATGGAGACTACCCCAAGAAGGGGGCGAATATTAATAATTTTTGGTAGGGAGATTTGTTACTATATACAACTACAAAATACCAAATTGCAGCAAATTCGGTTAAAATCGCGCTCAAGAACCCCAAAGTATCGAAAATTGGGGGTACCCTTATATGGGGGCTATCCGAAAAAATGGACCTATATTCATAATTTTTTGTGGGGAGATTTGGTACCTATTAAGGACTCAAAATACTAAATTACAGCCAATTCGGTGAAAAAATCCGGTAAAAACCCCTCAAAAACTGGAAATTGGGAGGTACCCTTATATGGGGGCTACCAGAAAAAGTGGACCTATATTTATAATTTTATGTGGGGCAATTTGGTACCCAATAATAACCCCATGTACCAAATTTCAGCGAATTCGGTTGAATCCCGCGCTCAAGAACCTTAAAATAGCGAAAATTGGGGGTACTTTTATATGGGGGGTACCAGAAAAAATTGACCTATATTTATAATTTTTAGTAGGGAGATTTGTTTCCCAATATGAGCTCAAAGTATTAAATTTCAGCGAATTCGGTTGAAAAACACGCTCAGGAACCTCAAAATACCGAATTTTGGTGGGTACCGTTATATGGGAGCTATGCCTAAACGTGGACCGATATATCCCATCTTCGATCTTGACCTGCCTGCAGACAAAAGACAACTTTATGCAAAATTTCAGCACCCTATCCCAATTCCTTCAGAAGATAGCGTGATTACAACAGACGGGCGGACGGACATGGCAAGATCGTCTTAGAATTTTACCCTGATCAAGAATATATATACTTTATAGGGTCGGAAATGAATATTTCGATGTGTTACAAACGGAATGACAAAATTAATATACCCTCCATACTATGGTGGAGGGTATAATTAAAAGAAACCTAAGAACTTTTTTTTAAGTAGGTTCTTCTCCTGGCTTTCCTTTTCATTGCAAAACTTAGATCATCAAGCTCGACTCGAAAGAGTAAAAATAACCACTTAAAATTACTTTCAAATGATCACTGCCCTTACAAGGCAAAATTCAAATAACAAAAATTAATTTCAGCCGAGCACGGCTAGGGCTCGAACCTAGGTCCTCAGAGCAACACAAATGTTGCCAAGACCGCTTAACGTTCTTGAGCCATCAACACTTCCAAAACGGTTGCGCAAAAACATGTGTATACCAGGAAGCAATTGTAGGTGTGTGGATTAATTATCCATCGCTACAACAAAAATCTGCTTTGAAAAGGACTGTTCCTAGAATGAAGACAAATGTCTAACTTTGACAAATTTGAATTTGATTCGCATATGCAAGTTTCGCATCAGGGCGGAATAAATACAAGTTATCAACGTACGACATTTGTAAAGCCACATAGCCCAATATGCCTGATGAGCCGCTTAACCAACGGCGAAACGCGTCGCATAATGGTGGGTACGTAGGTTTCCTTTTCATTGCAAAACTTAGATCATCAAGCTCGACTCGAAAGAGTATAAATAACCACTTAAAATTACTTTCAAATGATCACTGCCCTTACAAGGCAAATTTCAAATACCTCAATCGTTAAGTAAAATTCCGGGTTCGGGTTAGATAGTAAACATTATCAGTTTTTTTTGTATGTCTTTACATATGTTAATTGCGAAAAAATATTTAAAAATATGTATGTACTTATTTTCTACTTTTGTTAATATTTTATGGAAAATTACCCCAGTCTCATATTTATTGCTATGCAACTACTCTACTAATAAAATGTCACGTTGATAAACAACATAATCTGTCGACCAACACGAATTGTTCGACTTTGTACAATGTGTCATACATACATTTCATGCAATGCTAAAGATTGAAAACAATTTAAAACTAATAAAAGGAGTTTAAGTACAACCGGACCGAATTCCTTAAACATTAAATATTTGGAAAAGAAAGTAAATTTGAATTCGAGAAATCTATTTCAAAAATCATTGGAGAATCATTGACAGGAAATCCGACGATATTAAATATGTAAACTATATCTATATATGAACCGACTTCAATCAATCCATACACTTGTAATTCTGCTGTTCATGTCTATTTAAATCCAAACCGATTTGAAGCAAATTTAACACTCAAAATTTCATATTCTTCTGATTGTAATTTATATTTATGAATAGATTGAATGTGAAAATTATTAAAATTTTGAAGATTACTATTCAACAAAAATTTTATTTTTTTTTTTTTTAAATTCACCATTTTCAATCCACCTTCTATAAATACCGTTAATTTGGGGAATACCGTTTGATGAGGTGTGAATAATTTGTTTAGCCACATTGGTAAATGTTCCTAGGGCCTTGAAAAAAATTATTTAAAAAAATAATTTACGGAAAGCCCTTGAAAAAATAATTTAAACCAGTAAGGATAGTAGTAAAGTCGGACGGGGCCGGACAGATGAATCCTAACAGAATATATATGGGAGCTCTATCCAAGTCTGAACCAATTTCAACAAACTTTCCATACGCTAGGTTATATTAACTTCAGTACGTTGTGCAATATTTTGTGTTAATCGGCCCAACTTTGGGTCTTAGGTGCACCATTTACTTAAAATCTGACGAAATTATATATGGGAGCTATATCAAAATCGAAACCGATGTTCACGAAACTTAACATACATCATTCTAGACCTATTTCAGTACACTATGCCAAATTTCGTGCAAATCGAAAGATATATAGGGACTGTGACACACCATTTACATTAAATCGGATGAAAATATATACGGGAGTTATATCTAAATCCGAACCGATTTTTGGGAAACTTAACACACATCATTCTAAACTTTATTCAATACGCTATGCCAAATTTCGTGCAAATCGAAAGATATATAGAGACTGTGGTACACCATTTACATTAAATCGGATGAAAATATATACGGGAGCTACATCTAAATCCGAACCGATTTTTGGGAAACTAAACACACCATAATTCTAGACCTAATTCACTACTTTATGTCAAATTTCGTGCAAATCGAAAGATATATAGGAACTATGAGGCATCATTTACTTAAAAACGGACGAAAATATATATGGGAGCTATATCTTAATCTGAACCGATTTTCACGAAACTTAACACACATCATTCTAGAATTAATTAAGTGCGCTGTGCCAATCGATAGATATATAAGGTCTTTGGTGCACCATTTACTGAAAATTGGACGAAACTATATGTGGGAGCTATATCTAAATCTGAACCGATTTCAACAAAACTTGACATATATAAATCCAGACCTAATTCAGTACTCTGTGCAAAATTTTGTCTCCATCGGACAAATATTGACAGTATTGTGCACCATTTACATAAAATCTGAACCGATTTTCCGCAATTTCAATAGGGTTCGTCCTGGGCCAAACAAATAAGCTGTACCAAATTTCATCCAAATCGCATTACAATTTAACACCAACAGACGGACGGACATGCATAAATCAAATGAGAACCCGAAATACCAAAATTTTTCCGAACCGACCTAAAAAATATCGAATAATGGAGGATAACCAGACATATGAGAACTTTTTCAAAACTTGGGTAATTATACCCTACACAACTATGTTGTCAGGGTATTATAGCTTTGTGCAGCCCCAAGAGTTTGTAACGCCGCGAAATATTGGTCCTAGACCCACCTTTAAGTAAACCGATCGTCATATCTCGACTAGCTGAGTCGATCTAGACATGTGTGTCCGTCCGTCCGTCTGTCCATTATATTTTGTAAACACGATACAGGCCACAGTTATGGACCAATCTTCACGAAATTTTGCATGTAGGATGGGTTCTGGCCAATGAAGACCCCTATTGTTTTTGGTAAAGATCAGTTAATATCTAGGGGATGAAATTGACCAAATACTTAATTTTTATCGGTTTTTCTGGTCGCTCTAGAGGCCGCAATTATGACCCAAACATCGCGAATTTTTACATAGAGAAGGAGATCTGGTCAAAGAATAAGCATGCCTGTTTTGATAAGGATCGGTCAATATTTAGCGGGTCAAATGGACCCTGACTTTTGTGTGAAAATTTACAAAATTTTTATTCTATAGCGTATAGATTTACCCCTGAAGGACATAGACCCAAAAAGTTGTTGGTACATCCAAGGGCAGTGGTTGACCTTTAAATTGATATCAAATATATGGTCGTATGTACTCAGATGAGGTAGTTACACTTAAATATTTACAGGTGCTTATGTATTCAGAAATTATGTAGTAACCCAAAGTCGATCTATAGGCTCCAATGGGAATAAGAAGATCACAACACAAGGGAATCTGGACAAGTAATTAGAAGGGCTGTACAGAACATTAGTAATAATTGTCGGCCTCTAGTTGGTCCAGATGGTTCAAAAATCGCGAAAAATTGCCCAAGCTCAGAATATAGATTCACAGAAAGTTAGTTTTTCGTGGAAGTTGTGTAGGGTATCATATGGTCGGCCCCGTCCGACTATACTGCTCCGCTCACTGTTTTTTTTATATAAAACGTGTCCCAAAAACCACAATGGTACCTATATAAAGATGCTACCCTAAAAAGTACATATTGCGATCTGGACTATTATGCAACTTTATTGGATATATCTTTAATATATCCAATAAATAATTCAAATTCAATATATTCTCCATTGTATGCCGGGGGGTATAATAAACTAATTCCCATCATGAATCCCAATAATTCACAAGTTATTAAATTTTTTCTCTTGTCTAATGGCAACTTTGTTCAAAATTCCAAACTAATTTACAACAATTAATAATGTTGCATACTTTTAGGCGTTTCAATAATACCCATCAATATCAAATAACAATTCCAAACCGATAATAACAATGGATCCACCCACCTTGGAAACACCGCCAGTAATTCGACCGCTACCACCAGTCCTACAGGAGGTGGCCATTTGTGAACTAAATGAAAAACCCGAACTAATACACGAAGATGTTTTGGCATTTCGTAAATGGATACACAGTCAGCGGCATTTGAAGGCACGAACTAATGATCAATTTTTATTGGCATTTTTACGTGGCTCTAAATACAGTATGGAAAGGGCTAAGCAAAAGCTGGATCGTTATTACACTCTGAAGGCGGCCATACCGGAGGTATTTAACGAAGGGCGTTCAGTGGATAATCCACAAGTATTGGAGATACTAAGGCAGGGGTAAGTTGATCAAAAATAAAATTTCTAATTTCAGATCTCAGTTTTACTTTCCACCTAACCTCAAACTCATTAAAGTATTTTGTTCTCTTAAGCATCATTTTACAAATTCCCCTGCCGGAAGATGATCGCCGGCCATGTGTAACCATTATTAGAGCCACCGCATATGATATTAATAAATATAAATTTTCCGATATTATACGCGTTGGTTCTATGTTCGGTGAGATCATGATGATTGAAGATGATCGTTCCACGGTTTGTGGCTTTTTGGAAATTATGGATATGGTCGGTGTTACTGGTGCCCATTTGTTTCATTTGCAACCGGATATCTTGCGTAAATTCTCCGTATTTGCCGATGAGGCAATGCCAATGCGACAAAAGGGCACATGTTTCATTAATGTACCAGGTCCATTCGAGAAGGGTTTCAATACGCTGAAGGGATTCTTTCCGGAGAAAATGAAGACAAGGGTGAATTATAGAATTTCTATTTTTATTAGATTTTACTAACCTGTATTATTTGCAGATAAACGTCAGTGCCAATCATGATGTTATCTATGATCTAGTCCCTCGAGAATGTCTCCCTGTGGAATATGGTGGCACAAATGGTACCATGCAGGATATTATCGAAAGAATGGAAGAAAAATTACTGAGATATCGTGAATACTTTCTGCAAGAACCCAATTATGGTACAGATGAAAAATTACGTAAAATTGATAGAGCCTATAGTGTTGATAGTGCCTTTGGCACGGATGGCTATTTTAGAAAATTGGAATTTGATTGAATGGCAATCGTTTCCAAAGATTCTAAATTAGCCCATATTTCATGTGGTCCTGTGTGTTTTGTATCAGTGGGTTTCCAATCTAACAGCATGAGGGCATTGATTTTTATGGAATTTTTAAACAACCAACCAATCTAACCAAAGAATATTTTATAATATTGTTGTTATAACGAATAGATCTAAGTGTTCAATGTTATGTGTCACGGTTCTCTCTCTCTCTCTTAACATATTTTAAACAATTCCATTATTATTTAATTACAGATTTAATGAGAAAACGTAGAAAACCTGGACCATGGTTTACAAGAACATTATGTCAGATTTTATTCTAGTTTATAATCGTTGAAGTTTTTATTATAAATATATTGTAGTTATAGATAAGTGTATATGTATATATAGCATTTATATTACATCGATTTATAAGCACCAGTTATTTATATAAAATAACGTTATTTAATATATGTATTTTTGCACTGTAGATAAATAAATAATTATTACAACATAATACAAATTGCAGAGTTTTGAAAAAAGGAATTTAAAGTCAGTAGTGTTGGCGGTTTATTTGGGATACCATTTGTATTTTGTTTTTGCAAAATAGTCAGGATGAACCCCAGTTTGTTGTTTTTATAAAAAAAAAACAACTATTTATTAGTGGGGAATGTATGGCATTCATACCCAAATGCCTCTTGTTACAAAGCGAAGTACTTAGCTGATCAACGACATAAACTGCATGAGAATTCCGCTGGAGCCTCACTTCGAGGTTAACAAGGCATTTACAAACAATACCACACTGGGATTCAGCCTGACTATTTTGCAAAAACGGAATTTAAAGTCTTTAGTCACAATTTAATTTTAATTTTACTAGTAAGGAAAGAAGTAAAGCCAGACTGGGTCAGCTATATAATACCCGTTACCTTGGGGTATAATCTACATATGTGTCCTAATTGACTTGAAATTGAACAAACTTAAATATTTGATCTTTATCTATAAGAGAACCAGCATACATCAATCCATACTCATGCCTTTCTGCTACCTATGCTAAATTTCATTTCATTCGGGCAGATTTAGAGCTGTTTGCGTACAATGTGACATATTTATGTAAATCGGTTTAAAGCTAACTTGTTACACGATATGCGGTGTGACGCACTGTTCAAAATTTAATTTCATTTGGACACCCGTTCGAAATACCTGTGGAGCTATGTCTGCATCTGCACCAATTTCAACAAAACCCAATAACGTCATTCTAGTCTGAATTTGTGGAAAATTTTGTGTCAATCGGACAAACATTAGGAGTTTGGTGCATCATTTATCTAAAATCCGAAAATGTATATGGGAACTATATCTAAATTTGAACCGATTTCGACAAAATTTGCCAGAGAATAATTTATTTTAAATTTGGGACATTGTACAAAATTATGTGCTAATCGGACAAATTTGGGTCTTATTGCATAATTTACAGAAAATCGGAAGAAAATATATATGTAAGCTATAATCTGTGTGATAATTTAAGGGGAACCCCCCCCCCCCCCCATTCTCGGGGTCAAAAATTTTTTTGACATAATTCGAATCTACCCTAATTCAAGAATGTCCCTTCAAAATTTCAAGTGAATATCTAAAGAACTCTTGAAGATATAGCCGATTTATTCTGTCAGCATCAACTGACGGCTCTTTTCTCTTTTGCGAATGGCGGGCACGATAACTCAAAAACTAATAACCCAATCGATTCCAAATTTTTACACGCTTCTCTGTAAGTGTATAGCTATCGTATGAACTAGGATAAAGCTATTCGGTGAAGATCTTCCTTATTTTTTAACTTAGTTTTTGGTCAAAAATCGGTGATTTTCCAAAAATATTTTTTCAAAGGTCCGTCATTTTGTTAATTTTAGAGCGAAGTCAATAATCCTAGTTCATACGAGAGCCAGACATGTACTCTTTCTAACACCGTTGGAATTTTCGGATTCCGATGTTCCATTGAGGAGTTATCATGCCCGCCATCAAAAATAAGGACTTTTCTATAGTTACAAAAAACAACAACAAAACAACAACACAAATTTTTTGTAAATTATTTTTCTTCTCTTTTACATCTTCAAATATATATGCAAAGTTACATACCTTAACAAGCGTTGGTTTTGATTTACCAGCCCTTTGAAAATCTTGAAAAATGAAAATCGAGAATGGATGGGGTTCCCTTAAGGAATTAATATATGAATCTGAATTCTCACAACAAGTTGTTTCGAATTCGAAGTTCCGTGCAAGACCTTTCAACAGGTGATTAGTAATAGACACGAAGTGAAGAAGACTGAGTGTTGAGTGAGCCAGAAACCACCGACCCCGCACACGAAACAACAGGTGTGTTAATATTGCTACCTGTCCCGTTCACAGGAAAGCCTCTTCCAGGAAGTTCAACGTACATCTAGGGAGTTGTCGTAAGTCATTAGAACTCCAGGTCCCAGTCATCCAAGGGACTGCTTCTCAGCAATGGGTACTCTAGTCATCCAGAAGGCTGTTCACGGCAATTTTATCGGTGTTCTAGTCATCCAGAAGGCTGTTCACGGCAATTTTATCGGTGTTCTAGTCATCCAGAAGGCTGTTCACGGCAATTTTCCCCGGCGAGATCGCTACCTTAATCCAGAGTTTATTCCCCATACCAACGGTGGCACAACACATACCCCAGTCTCTGACATTTTTCCCAATTTCAATTTCAAATAAGTGACCTAAGCAGATCATCCAGGACCGAATAAAATGCTTGGGGCTAGATTCTAAGAATTTTGCAATGGATTATTGATTCAATTGCTATAAAAACTGATCCTTAGTTATGCATCAACGAAGGCCATCTACATTCAATAATATGCACAACATGAAAAATCTCTCCTCTCCCAACATATGTACAATCTGACCGAACAAAAGTGACATCTACATGTATTGATTTTATTTAATTTTTGTTGGGGGTGTATACTTTTCGGCTCTAAAATACAATTCGGGTTTATTACATTAGAAAATCGTGTTACAAAATAAGGAAGAACTTCAAGAAATGTATTTATCCTAGTTCATACGATGACAATCATGCCCGCTATTCGTAAAAACACTGTTTTGAGAAAAATGTGTTGAATGTTTTAGCTCTCTTACCATCGTTTTTTCTGTGTTCATTAGAAATTTTAAAAATACTATCTTGAATAAACGTGGGTACATTTTAATACCGAGAATGTGGTGAGGTCACGTTACAAATATGTATTTTAAATTGGTTGTCTGTTTTGTTAATTCTGAAATACTTTCATCTAGTTTTGTCATTAGTGCTTCATATAATAAGGGATTTCTCGTCACTTGCCCCTCCTCTGAGCATAGGGCCCGATTAGTTCATCATCTCTTCACTACACTGTGGTACAGGGTATTATGTCTTTGTGCATATGTTCGTAACAGGCAAAAGGAAACGAGATAGACACATGGTTCCTTTTGAGAATATGCATAGAATCATTTTCTGAGTCGATTTATGCATGTCCGTCTGTCTGTCTGTCCATGTTAAATTGTAAACAAAGTACAGGTCGCATTTATGATCCGAATTGGATGAAATTTGGCACAGGTCACTTATTCGGCCCAAGGACGAACCCTATTGAAATTGGGATAAATCGGTTCAGATTTTGATGTATCTCCCATATATATATTTAACCGATTTAATGTAAATGGTCCCTATATATCTTTTGATTTGCACGAAATTTGGTACAGCCCAATCATTTAGGTCTAGAATGATGCCTGTCAAGTTTCGTGAAAATCGGTCCTGATTTAGATATAGCTCCCATATATAGCTTCGTCCAATTTCATATAAATGGTGCACCAAAGTCCCTATATATCCTTCGATTTGCACGGAATTTGGCATAACGTACTAAATTGAGCCTAGAGTGATGTCTGCCTTGTTTCGTGAAGATCGATCCAGATTTAGATATAGCTCCCTTTTATTATATATTGATTTTAAGTAATTCACGCACCAAGGAACCAATAGGCTGATAGGAACAAAACGTTCTGAAATTTGTATATATATTTTCGCCCGATTTCAAGTAAATTGGGCATCAAACTCATGTTAGTCAGATTGACATCAACTTACAAAATTGAGCATAGAATTACGCGTTTTGTAGAAGTACAGACATAGCCCAACGGATGACCTATTTATATTTGTTTGAAGCCGATTTACATACTTTATGGATAGATCTAGGCAGATTCAAATTTAGATAAATATCACATATTTTATTTCATCCAATTTAATGTTAATAGCCCTGTTTAATATACCCATAGTGGTGAAGGGTATCATATAGTCGGCCCCGTCCGATTTTACTACTTTCCTTACTGGTTTTTAGTTTTATTCCTGCTAAGTAGATGATTGGTCTGCTATAGCCCGCCCTAGGAGATGCGACTGTCATCTATCGTTGACTAGAAATAATGTTCTCTTGAATTTTATGCAGTGATGAGATGTGAGCACTGCCTTTTCTGAATTTTAGTGTTATAATTTTTGAATTTTCCGTTCCCTGAAAGTGGAAATTTTTTAATGAAATGATCATGTGTGCATAAACACTACAATGATTGGTAATATCGGTTACAACAACTAATCCAGAAGCTTAGATCTCACACATAAATTTCATATTTTTTCTGTAATTACCGTTAGTCATTGTCGTATTTTCCGCACCCTGACACCCAATGCCATTAAATCCATTCATTGACATACAACGAAAAAAATAGATAAAAACACACACAGTTTCGATTTTGAAAAAGAGGGGATACTACGGTGTCTAATTAAACTAATAATGATTTCCTTATCAATAAAATATTATTCGGGTATCCGAAAAAAATATTTGAAGAGACCGTCGCCAAAACAAACCAAAAAATGGTTTATTTGTTTGGCTACCACAACGAAGTCAGTGCATTATTACACAGAACCTAGACAGTATAAGACTGAAAATATAGTCAGCTAAAAATATTATTTTTGCGGGACACTTTTTTTTAGTAGTACATAGGAAATAG